CCAACCTGCACTTTCTCAAGCTTTCCGTTTGTTGACAGATTTCCAGAGCGTAGCTGCATGCTACGATATACCTACTTGGTAAATTCAAATGGTAAAACAAACAAACAAACAAACAAAGACTTGAACATCATCTAGAGCAGACTTCCACTCTAAAAAGCAAGCAAATTTGATTGAAAAGATGACTTTCAGGAGACGTTTGAAACTATATTTACCGGGGGGTTTTTTTTGGACTATAAGGCGCACCAGATTATAAGGCGCATTAAGCGAAACAAGTTCATTTTGACAGAATTTTGACCGCCGTGTATGGGGTGCCGTTTGTGAACTTGCACAGTCAAAAATTAACATCAATATTTTGGGTTATTTAGCTTTTAATAAGAAAAAAAAAGTATTTTTTTTTTCCAAGTCAAATTTTCACCACGTTGTTCATACATTTATAAATGTCATAGTTCCAAACTAGATATTTAATTTACAAGATAAACATTTAGTTTACAAACTAAATACTTAACTTGCATTAGTTAAACTAAATATTTAGGTGTAAATTAAATATTTAATTTATACCTAACTATTTAGATTACTAACTAAATATTTAATTTCTAAGCTAAACATTTAATTCCTAAATTAAATATTTAATTAGCAAACTAAATATTTAGCTAAAAAGTTAAATATTTAACTAACAAGTTAAATATTTAGGTCTGAGGTAAATATTTAGTTAGCAAATTAAATATTTACTTTGCTAACTAAATATTTAGTTTGTAAAATATATATTTAGGTAACAAGAAGATGATTTTGGGTGTTCAGTGTGTGACTAAATTAAATATTTAATTTATACCTAAATATTTAGATTACTGACTAAATGTTTAATTTCTAAGCAAAACATTTAATTCCTAAATTAAATATTTAATTTGCAAACTAAATATTTAGCTAAAAAGTTAAATATTTAACTAACAAGTTAAATATTTAGGTCTGAGGTAAATATTTAGTTAGCAAATTAAACATTTACTTTGCTAACTAAATATTTAGATGGCAAGTTAAATATTTAGCTAAAAAGTTAAATATTTAACTAACAAGTTAAATATTTAGGTCTGAGGTAAGTATTTAGTTAGCAAATTACATATTTATTTTGGAAATTAAATGTTTAGTTTGTAAAATATATATTTAGGTAACAAGAAGATGATTTTGGGTGTTCAGTGTGTGACTGTGAGGGAGTTGGCTTTGTAGCCGTGTACCACATAAAACTGGTTTGAGGTCAGTAAGCACAACCAGAATTAATACATAAGGCACACCGGATTATAAAGCTCACTGCTGATTTTTGAGAAAATTAAAGGATTTTAAGTGTGCCTTATAGTCTGAAAAATATGGTAGATGTTTACATTTCACTAGAAACATGTAAGATGACACTGCAATTGCTTCATGCATCTTTCCGAGCTGTAAAATATATGTATAATTGGTTTTGGCAACACAAGTTTAAATCCCATCCTTTACAAGAAAGACACCAAATATTCCTGGCTGTCTGTAATCCTATAAGATGTGATGACACAATACAAAAAGACTTGTGGATGTGTTATTATCTGCCAGTAAATTATAAATATCTTTTCAGATTAATAGCTGTTGTCTCTTTTTCAACTCCCAACTTTTTATTGTTTTTTGGACACCACACTTTAGCCACTATAAATGAGATGATAAAAGTTCCTGAATGCTCAAATCAACGTTTGCAGACAGTGTTAAGATCCAAGTTGCAGCTCTCTCTCTCTCTCTCTCTCTCTCTCTCTCTCTCTCTCTCTCTCTCTCTCTCTCTGTCGCTCTCTCTCTCTGTCGCTCTTTTCTTTGCATGTGTCACAAACTTGTTGGAACTGTGGGAACATGTTTCAGTTTGGAGCTGCTGTTTGAAATCATGAGAGTCAAGTACAAACATGACGAAGATCATAGTACCAAATACACAGTAGGTTATGCAGTCAGATGTATACTGTATATTATGCTGTAGATTTCAAACTGATAATATCCATCCATCCATCCATCCATTATCTTTACCCGCTTCTTCCTTTTCGGGTCACGGGGGTCACTGGTGCCCATGTTCAGCAGTCACTGTGCGAGAGGTGGGGGACACCCTGGACAGGTCTCCAGTCCATCACAGGGACACAGAGACAAACGAGAAAAACAACCATTCACTCTCTCACTCACACCTAGGGACAATTTAGAGTTACCAATCAGCCTAACATGCATGTTTTTGGTCTGTGGGAAGAAACCGGAGTACCCGGAGAAAACCCACAAATGCACGGAGAGAACATGCAAACTCCACCCAGAAAGGTCCATGGACCAGGATTCGAACTGAAAGCCTTCTCGTTGAGAGGCAACACCTCTGTCAACTGCGCCACCGTGCCGCCCAATAATGACCTTTTGTGGTTTCTAAGCAGTTGTAAAACTTTGCACATACAGTAAATATTCAAAAACATTGCTGCTTTATACTTTGCAGACCAGATACACAGAACTCAATGAAATCCAAATATTACTGGAATGTAAAACATATTCACTGCTTATAAAACGTGTTTTCACTCATTTTGTCATCAAGTCTTTATTTAAGCAATTAGATGCATGTCCTTTGACATTTAACGGGAGGTGCTGCAGCACCCTGTTCACCTCTACTGCCCACAGCCTTATGCATGTCTTACTTACTTGAAGTTGTTTGTGTGTTATAAGGATTAGAGTATATGGACTTCACAGCTTAGACTAAATGGGGTCTGAATTAAGCTGAAAACATTAATCTAAATCAAGGCAGTTAATGTTGAAAAAGCATCTTTTCTTCAGTGTTTTTCTGTTTGTTTGTGTGATTTTAGACATCCAGCTTGGTAACGCAAAAGTTGAAATAGCGCCAGAAAACAGTTTTTTTTTTCCTGTTCTTGTACCAAAGTTTAATAATCAACAGCTTCTATGTTTGGAAGAACGTAATCAATCATCGTATGTTTATACGTCTGTGCTGCATTCATATTACATCCAGAGTTCATTTGAATGCAGACAAAGACTGTGAAAATGTGCATCCCTGTCTGCTTGCTAATGCCCCGAAGTTTAGATGAGAGTTCACACTTCTTTAAATGATAACGAATAACGAACTAATCCCATTAGAGAAGATTTTAATAAAAAAAATTAAGCTGTCAGAAGCTTTAGTGATGCTGTCTTAACTTGTATACTGGATAATGGTGGTTTTGTTGCCTTACTGAAACAAAAATCTATCTTTTTTCAAACACTGATTGAAGCTTTACAGCTTTAATCAGTGAGATTTTGTTGTTTTTCCATTTTTTATTTTGTCAAAGTAACAGGAGACACTTTCCAAACTTGTTTAAAGACCTGAGAAGAATTTGTTCTACTATTGTAGATGAACATGTCAACTTAAGAGCTGTCACTAATTATTATCAGACCAAGTTCATATTTTCACTTCTCTTGCTCCTACTTCATTACAGTTAGTCTGCTGTGACTGAATGCACTCAGTATTTTATTTTACATATCCACGAGGTAGACTCCTGTTCCTAATCCAAGGCATATTACAAGGTTTGCAGGAGTAATCTCGGGATGAAAAGCAGAGGAAAGCGTCGCCTTTGGTGCTCTGCACCTCTCTGACATTAATGATGTGTTGTACTGTAGTTCAATGATTCAGAACTGAAACAGGATTAGGTGGTGATGAGGCAAAGAATGTAGGCTTTGCAGTTAAATCCTAAAAAAAAAAAAATACACACAATTACCTAAAGAAAAGAGAATGACAACACATGCAAGCCTAATTTTGTAATGGTTTCCAAACTGAATATATTAAACAGTATGGACGTTTTATGGAGTGGCAATTAGCACTCGTGGTCATGCCAATAGATGTGAAATACGGGCCTTGTAAATCAATGAACTTAAAATGGTTAGCCTGAAACTTGGCTGTCTTTGCTCTCGATCAAATATGATCAATCTAAGGTCCAAAAAAGGCCACGATGTTAACGGGTAATTAGTCAACTTAGGGCTTCAAACCGCTCTTCCACAAACCAATCGGTGAGGTCTTGATGGCTACATTCAGCTGTTGTGCACAGTGTGTCCGACCCGAAGCATCTGCATGTTCGTTCATTCAGGCGCAGATAAGATAATGCAAGATGGGAAAATCAGTCCTCCATTTTATGGATTATGTACAAAACAAATTTAAAATTAAACTTTAAATCTACTGAAGGCAAAATACACAAAGTGTTTACAATTCGGGACATGAAAGTCTGTGCCCAAAATGTATCACTTGATCCGATTTTTAATATTCAATATGCTACAATAGGCAACCTGTGATAATCCAAACCAGAATTTCTCCTCGGTAAATGTTGCAATTTACAGAATGTTATATATGTTGGGAACATTTTGACAAGCTGTGGGCACTAAATAAGTCTGTGGATGATTTAAATTATTGATCCTCTGGGCACTGACTGAACATTTAATATAGCACTCGTTATCACGCTCTAACCCTGGACCAAAGAGAATATTAAAACCAACATTGTCATTCCCACATGTTTAGCTTGACTTGATGTATCAGACAAACATGCAGTTGTCAAAAATACAACTTAAATAAAGCTACATGTTAGCAACAAGAGTCCCATAGCTGATAAGATGGTGTGGGATGACCAGAACAGAAAACCACTTGGATAAATCAGCGTAAAGATGACACAAGAGGAGACGCCTGATGGCAGAGGACGACCAACACGTCCAGTAAAGAATGTGGCGTGTCACCTGAAAGCCCTACGAGATGAAACACCCATTCAACACGCGCTTCTGTTGCAACCTTCAATCGGATGCCAAGGCTGTGCCGAAATGAAAGCAATTTGATATCGCCGGAGAGGCGAACGGGAAAATGACACGAGGAGAATCAGTGCAAGATGCAAAAGAAGCGTCACAGTTGATGATTTGAGGTGAAACGACATTAAAGCGTCGCTTCTTCTTAGAGAGAATGGGTTCCACGCTGAACTCTGTGTTAAAAAGCAGAAAAAAAAACTTACTTCATGGGTTTGAAGAGAGCCTGGCCGTAGTTTTGGAAGGTCATGATGAGCTTCAGCTGAGTGCCTCCAGACTTCATCGCTGTTGGAATAAATAAAAAAACAACAGCAACACTAAATTACTGATGTGATATTTCAGCTTGAAATGATTGATGTATAATGCCATCATAGTTTTTACAAAGATGTAAGTATATTTACTGGAAATTCCACCTTTCTTACAGTGAACTGTTGAAAAAGATAAAGCTCAAACGTTATTGTAAACCAGACAAATATTGTGTTTAAACTAGGCCTGTCACGATAACAAATTTTGCTGGGCGATTAATTGTCTCAGAAATTATTGCGATAAACGATAACATTGTTTGAAAATTGACAATAATTAGTAAATATCGTCAAATTTAAGAAGAAATGTTGGTTAATTATTTCAAAAACACAAAGTTTGTTTTCTCAGTCATCCAGGTATATAACAACAAAAAAGGTTGAATCATGTCATCTGGACTTCGTTTTTTTGTTAAAAAGAAATGTTTCGCCCCTCATCCAAGAGACTTCGTCGGTCTGGGGCCTAGCCATCTGGTATTACCCAGAAGCCACCCTGACTCTTGTGTTTCAAGCCTGCCTCAGATACCCCTGAAGTCTGGCCTTTTCACTAATGGTTTCAAAAACACAACCAGATGACATGATTCAACCTTTTTTGTTGGTTAATTATATTTTCAGTGTAGTACCTTTTTTGTATAAGACTGTTTGAAACGAAGGATGGAGCAGCATGTCTCTTTAAGAACACTGGGAGGGAGGCCCTTTGACGTGACATGGGCGGTCTCTCCTTTTTTGGCGGACGCTCAGAGTGGTTTGAGCTCTTTAACATAATATTTTTTCACACAAAGCTTTTAATTTAAAAAAATCAGTAAACAAGCTCTCAGCGTCTTTTTGCAGAGAAAAACAATTTTTTACATAAAGGCACGGGTTTCAACCATGAATTTTGAAACTTCGACAAGACGGAGGTTGTTGCCTGAGGTCGGCCTGTTAGCTTAGCTCGTAGCTTATATTCTCAGCTTAGCTGCTTTTAACGATCCAAAAATGCCATTTTGGACGGTTAAAAGGGATTTTAAAGAGAAAGGGAGGGGGTCAGTGAAGAGCACTGGAGTTGAGCCTTTTGTCATCCAGTGTCTTCAGTAGAAAGAGACACACGAAGAAACGATAAAGCCGATAAATGGAAACGAGGTCGATAATTTTCATATATCATGCGATTAATTGATTTATTGTTCATCGCGATAGGCCTACTTTAAAAAAACAAAAACAGAGTAAAGTTTATGTAAGACTTGTCTTTTCAGCTCCGAGTCGATTGAACTCGACAGACATTTCATGACACACCTAACACCAGCTTCCTCTGCAGCACCACTGACGTGCGCTGCTAGGCTCGCACATGTGCAGCAGTGTGTCTTTGCGTGTCGCTGCGATGGGTGTGCTTCGGCTCTGAAAAGTCTGAGACCTGATGTCACCATGTTTGTTTGACGGGAAGCGACAGTGAGGCTTGGGTGAAGGACAGCCAGTGCTCAGCTGACGCTCTCTGGTCCTCTGCTGTTCACTCTTCTCCCTGTTTTCTCAGAAGGCTCTTCCTGTCTTTCTCTCCATTTGTCTCTGTTTGCATTTCTTATTCATCTTCCCATCCTCGATCTCCCCCACCTCCCCCCGGCTTCAGCATGATAATGCAGTCTGAAGGTGCTCCTGGGACTAGGTTTGGTGCACGGAGTTCAGTCAAGATCTAAAGCGAGTTTAACAGAAAGAGCAAAGTCTCCGCTGATCGATTGGCAGCTGTGTATTTGGTGGCGTTTTGCCAAAGAACAGACTTTTCAATCAATGATTTTAATTTATTTTTACATGTGGGAATCACGAGGACAAGCAAACTGTTTGCAGAGGGGCATGGTGGGGGAAATGTGCACAGATCAATGTCTGCTCGGTCTCGTGTGCTACAAAGCTGTTGCTTGGAGGTTTGATACATTCCAGAGTAATCCATTCCACTGTAATCATTGGGAATTCATGCATGCAGAAGCCATGACAATCATAAACGGTGTACTCGTCCTGACTCTGCAGCAGTGTGTACCTCATCTTCAACTCGTCCCAGCTCCAGATTGTTCCAAGCAGCTGCTGAAAGGTTTATCATTTCTGCTGCTTTTGCACGCCAGGCTCACAGAGGTTGCTGAGAAGACGTTGCCGTCTATAATAGATCTAAGCATTCCTATCCTTAAGTTCAGATAATAGACAACTGATGTTGGCTTTTATTGGTATTCTGCTCAGGGCCTGTGTTAAGACTCTGTAATTACTGAAGCAGCATGTTATTTAGCTGGCAAGACATGCTAAGGACTGCTATCCACCCAGGGAGAAAGCAAAAGGGAGAAATTTTGAGGAAAAATTAGACAGCATCTTGGCTAGATAGTACGAAAAGAAAAAAACATAATCTTCTACTAAGTAACTGAGCATGGATGGGAGTTTTATAAACAGTTAATCCTAGTCCTAGATAAGCATTTAATCTCTGCTATGGGCCAGTTGCATTTTTTGTCGTTGGCAGATAAACCTGGAATCAAAAATCCCTTCTTTTTTTTTACAGTGAGATTGAGATGGGCGACCTTGAGTCGACAAGCTCTTTTGGAATGTGTGAACGGAGAACAGCCAAAAGGGAAGACAATCCCCTTCAGGAAAGAAAGGGAGAAACAAAGAGCTCAAATAGATTCTATACAAGTTCCCGAGTGTGCATGGATTATCACCTCTGCTCGCCACATCCTCAGCAAGATCTTTACTGTTCTCCATCAAAAAGCCAGATTTACAGCGCTGACCAATCAAATAAAAAGGCACAGGTTTGATATGAGTCAAACTGGAATGTGGCTGTGTGATTTGCACTGAGACCGTGTGTCCTCTTGGGCAGTGTTGCCAGATCTCACGATAGAAACAAGCAACCAGCTCTATGAAAACAAGCCCAAAACAAGCCCAACTGGCAACCCACCACATTGTGCAAAACAGAGGGTGTTTTTAAACAGTATAAAAATACATTTATTATGGCATTACACATAAACAACAGCAAAATTATGATAAACACTTTGACTAACATACTTTTAAGCTCTGATTTAAAAAATACATTTTGTATATGTAACAAATATATAAATCATATTTTTCCTACGTATTTTTAAAAACAAAACATCCTGACACCTGCGTGTGAGTGGAGCCCCCTAGTGGTCGGCCACAGTCTGAGTGTTTGTTTGAGTGTGCGCCTGTCACCTCGCCAACTTGGGCGGGAGCGATAAATAGAAAACGGGGGCGTGGAAGGGACAAACTACCTACCATAGTTGCCAAGTCCGCTTATTATAAGCGACTTTGGGCTTGTTTTTTTCTGAACCCGCTTGTGAATCTTGTGAGTCGCGAGTTACAGGTTTTTTGGGCTTGTTTTTGAACGTGAAGCTGTTTATTTGGGCATGACTTCCTTTCCGAGTGAAACTAGTTGATTATCTCCCAGCTCCACACAATAAAGCAAAAGACGAGTGGTAGTAGGTAGTTTGTCCCTTCCACGCCCCCGTTTCCTGTTTATCGTTCCCGACCAAGATGGCGAGGCGACAGGCGCACACAGACATACATAGACATGTAAAAATATGTCTGTGGGCGAGCACCCAAAACACTCATTTGTGGCCGACCACTATTGGGCTCTACTCACACACAGATGTCAGGATGTTTTGTTTTTAAAAATATGTAGAAAAAATTAGGGATGGGGCCGATCCGATCCAGTATCAGTATCGGCCTCCAATACCAGCATAATTTACGTATCGGATTTTTCCGTTCCAACCTGATGATCTTTCCGATCCATGATGCATGTCTGTGTCTGATGACCTGCTCTGCAGGTTGGCTTCAAATTATGGAATGGATTTCCTGAGTGGAGGCGTGTCTCATGAACCCAGAGTAATAAGACCCGCCTCACATTCAGGAAATCCATTTCATAGTTTGCAGCCAGCTACAATGTGAGTAAATACTCTTTTGAGGGCTGAGCACTGAGCAGCACTGTTGCTAACGGCTAACCAACTTTTCATCGTAACATGTCCGCTGTGTGGAAGTGTTTTACACTAAACACCGCAAGACAGCAACATGCAATGTCTGCAGAGCCGCTGACTGAGAGGAGGACGCTCGGTCGCGACCTACAATACATCAACCTTAATAAACATTTGAAAAAGCACCACATTAAATCACACGAGTATAGTTTAGCCAGGCAGCGCAGTAACGTTAGTTTTACGTTGGACGTTGGAGCTCCGTGGCTTCAGCGGTGTGTTTCTCTTGTTCAGTCCGGAGCAGACAGTCTGATTTCAGTCAGCCGTGCTCGGTCTGCCCGTCTCTGAGGAGCAGACCGAGCGTGGCTGACTGAAATCAGACCGTCTGCTCCGCAGCTTGATTGAATACTTGCAGTCAAGACATAGTTTACGTTTACCCTCCAGGAGATATTTATCAGCTCAAGATGAGAGTTCTGTGATGGAGTTACATTCAAAGTAATCTGCTCAGATAAATAGTCTTAAATTATTATTTTTATATATGAATGTTTCTGTTAACTTATTGTAATGTTTCTGTACAGTGCCCTGAAATGACTTCTGTTGTGACTTGGCGCTATATAAATAAACTGAATTGAACAATCATAAAAAAAAAAAAAAGAGCATGAACTGAAAAATAAAATAAAATTATATATGTATAAAAAAGAAACAAAAACAGCTACATTATAAAGTAATGTAAAATACTAAAAACAGGAACATGTCTGTGTTGGTTTATGCCATGAACTTAGCAGATGTTTGAAGCAATTTAATCCCTTTAATATCCACTTTAAAGCTAGGAATAAAACAAACAGTATATTTTGTGCCTCATGTTGCCTTTTTGGACATACATGTATATATTTGTACAAACTGTACTTGAGAGGAGATTATTACAGCCTCATAAAATCAATTATGATTATGGTATCGGAATGGTATTAATATTGGACGATATCTAGTGCCACTTTTCCACTGTCACAGTGCGGATCAGGTCAGTTCGGGTCAGTTCAGATCGGCTCGTGTCTCATTGTGTTTCCATTTACACTTCTGGAGCGGTTCTGTATGTGGGGGCCTAGAATCCAACTCGTCTTACCGTCTTCTGCATTTGACCACGGCTTTGATATTATTGTTTTTGTATAGCTTCAAAATACTAAAAGATATGTTCCTCGAGTTATCGCTAATAGCAAGCGGTAGAGAAAAAATGGCGGATCGGGTTGTTTGGAAAGACTCCACAGACGCCTCCCCCCGACCAATCAGTGACCGACAGTGTTTCTGACGTCACGGCTCGGCTCGCTTGGACCCCTTGAGAAGCCGGGCCAGAATTTAGGGAGGCGAGCCGGTCCCAGGAACCATGGTAAAGACCTCAAACACGGGCCAAGCCGGAAATATCCGACCTGCGCCATGACAGTGGAAAAAGGGCATTAGGTGTAGGTATCGGGATCGGATCGGAAGTTAAAAAAATGTGGATCGGTTCATCCCTAGAAAAATTACACATGTAATATTTTATTTTTTTAAATCAGAGCTGAAAAGTATGTTATTCAAAGTGTTCAGCATCATTTTGCTGTTGTTTATGTGTAATGCCATAATAAATGTATGTTTAAAAAAACGGCCTGTTTTATTCAATGTGGTGGGTTGCCAGTTGGGCTTGTTTTGGGCTTGTTTTCATAGAGATGGTTGCTTTATTCTATTGCGAGATCTGGCAACACTGCTACCTACTACCACTCATCTTTTGCTTTATTGTGTGGAGCTGGGAGGTAATCAACTAGTTTCACTCGGAAAGAAAGTCAAGCCCAAAAAAACGCAACCCGCGACTCACAAGATTTGCAAGCGAATTTAGAAAAAAACAAGCCCAAAGTCACTTATAATAAGCAGACTTGGCAACACTGCTCTTGGGCTCTGTGACGCTCTGTGGAAACACACGAGGGAGGACTGTGGTGTTTTTATTATTCTCCCGGCCTTGTAAAGCAGGAGCATGCAGGCTGATGAGATTGAGCTGTATGGAAGCCTGCAGCTCGCTTCTATCTTCCTGCGTATTTATGTGCTTGTGCATGGGGGTGCGTTCACTTGTCAGCTGCTTATCAGCTCCCCCTCAATATGCTTAACCGACAGAGCCCATGAAAGAACATTAAAGGGCACTTGTACTCAGTTTTGTCAGTTTGCATGTTTGAGCATGAACGTTAAGGCTAATATTTGTGCTATTTACACATACGAAGGCTTCGAGGTGATTTTTTAACGTTACAAGTGCAAACCCAATTTTGAAAAAAAGATGCGCAAAAAGCAAAACCAGAAAGATTTACAAAACTCATAAACCCATTGACCTGTGTTGACTTTGACTTGAATATAAAGCCTCGTACATTTTGCTAGGTGTTTCAAATGTAAATACCACGTGTCATAATGTTTGTTTGAGACCTCCCCTTCTGACTGACGCCACGTTTGACCAACTGGTTTTAATTCAAATTAATACCTTTACAAAGAGAACTAACTTTGCATGTATTCCCAAGGGTTAAAAATGGCACCAGATTTGTTTTGTAGGTAGGGTTTTTCTAGGGATTTTAAACATTTAGGTGGAAGAGTTTAAATGGACTGAGGCAAAGTGGAAAACTGTTCTGTCGTCAATTAAATAAAAATTTGAAACTTTTTGTAAGCCACAGGTGCCATGTCTGTCCTCTGTGCTGAGGAGAAGGACCAACTGGCATGTTAGCACACAGTCTAACAGCCTGCCTCTTTGATGGTATTGGGGTGCATTAGAATTAATTACACGGGCAGCTTGCACATCTGGAAAGGAACCATCTATTAAGACATGTATAATATCATATAATGTCATTTACAATGAAATGGCTGCACAGGCCAGTTCCTCCTCAAACAGTTCATAAATCACCGGTGAAGCGTCCACGTCTTGCTCAGGTGTGAGCTCTGAGCAGAACCAAAAGAGGCGGAGCAGAACTCAGCTGGGCTGAAAGCGAGCACGATGCATGTCCGTGTTGTTTTCTATAATTAATTAATTCACTTAATTGTAAATGGACTGTACTTATACAGCGCCTTTCTATCTTATTTCAAGATACTCAAAGCACATTACACTACAATCTGTGTCCTCATTGACCCATTCATACAGCACTCTACTAGATCTCTACAAAGCTAATTGAACAAATCATTCTAATGAGTCTAATCAGTGCTATCCATCCTATTTGTGGTTAACTATTATTTAAACTAACTGCAATGCTGCTGTGCATCATCAACAACACTCCCCCAGTATCCGTTGTTGTTTAATCCGGCTCGCGGGCGATCACACACTGATTTACTCCGTTTATCAGAAGTTCATGCACAGCGGGAGAGTAAAAGAGTGCGCCCCTGTGAGAGCACGCAGCCCTTTGACTCGGGTTTCTTCTCATTTAAGTCATAATTAAACATTCCTAACACCAAAACACAGATAGGCCCCAGATTAAAGTAAAGACGTGTGTCTCTGTTTAACTTTATTTTGTTTTCCCCAATCTCACAAAATTCTCTCTGTGAGAGAGTCCCAGACAGACTGTGAGCTGCAAAGCATGCTGGGAGGAAAAACTTGGTGCAATGCTTCTGAGTGTGCAGATGGGTTGCTCTTGTTATTGTCCTGTTCAGGTTTGCTTTGGCATTTACGTTGAAGCCTCTGTTATTAAACTGACACCATGAGTCCGAGGTTGTTCCCAGTACAGTAGTTAAGTAATGGTAGTAATGGTTGCAGCAGTCCTCACTGAAGAAAGAAGTCAGAGTGATGTCTGGCTGTGCAATGTGTCATGCAAGACCATGCAAGGCCATTACAGGCCAGTACAGTGGTGAGGGGCTGTTCCTCTGTATGATCATGAAAAACTTGAAAATTGAGATGGACACGTAACATTAATGCCTCTCAGACTAAAATATTTGCTATTTCAAATTTTCTTGAAGGACTCGCTCACAAATTCTCCTGATTTTTTTGTATTTTTTATTAATGAACTCATCAGTGTGCTGGACTTAAGTTACCCGTGGGCCGGAAGTGGCCTGCAGGATGCCAGATAAATAGCCCTGCTCTGGTCATTGCTGTATCAATAATGCAATAAACTGCATTGATTTCAATCCATATTTTATTCCAAATGTGCATTTCTGCTCTGCACACTAATAATGCATTTGTCATGGCAATATTCAATAATAATAATAATAATAATGCAAGTACATGTTTTCCAACTCTTACAGTTTCAGCTTTTCTCATTTACATGAACAGAAATGAGAAGATCTTAGATAATGATGTCTTAAAGCCTAACTGTGCATTGAAGCTCTCCGCTGGATCCCATTAAGGTTCAAGTGTAGGATCTTTTTGTGAGGACTCACCAACGCTGGTGATCTTTTGGGTCACCAGGTCCTTCAGAAGGGCGTCGATGACCGGGTTGTGTCTGGAGTACAGCTCGTATCGATTAATCCCAATGTGGAAGCGGAGCCAGTTGGGGTACGACTCGGCCATCAGCTCTACTGTCGGGCTGAACTCATCCACGGTGCCCTCCCCAGTCCTGGATGAGAGGATGAAGGGAGGAAAACAGGCATGGAGGATGAGCGGTAACATCTTTACATGAACTGTTACAGAATGTTTGGGACAAATTAAAAAGCTTTGGGTTTATCTTTAACTTCATTACAACTCAGTTACACAATAAAAGATTAAAAGGAGCGGTTTTGACCTGTTATCACTAGTGTGGACAACGTGCAGCAGACTGTGAAACAGTTTCCAACACCTCCCCATGGAGCTCCAAATATTTAAACACAAAACTTCCATGAGCCACGGTCAACATCTGACCAAACATCCACCACTGCAGCTGTAACTAATGGTTTGCTGCTTTTGTCTTTGTCCCTGCGTGTTCTGTGATGTTTAAGATGCTGTGTTTTACAGTTTTATGAGTAATCAAGGGTATTGAAGCAACAATTTTACAACTTTGTTCTCAATATTTGTGTTTTTACACCCTGCATTTGAAAAATCAAACATCCCAAGCAAATTAAGACATCAAAACGTGTGGTTCGATAATAGCGTGACTTTGGGTAGAGGCATGATGTGGAAAAAATTAGCATGGATCGTATAAAATTAGCTCACCAGCACCCTGGAGTGTTTGTCATTTAAAGTTTAAAGTTGGACTATACAGGACAGAGCTGGGGTTTTGATGTCTTTCACCAGTTTGACCTGATTTCAGATCAGCTTTTAGGATTTTTGGAGGTTTTAGCACAAACTTTTGAGATGTCTAAACTTCCCAAGATTTTGCGAGCGGATTCTTTTCTCAACTTTTCTTTCATATGCACAGTCAAATGAGCACATTGTTTTCTTGCACATCTTTCCCCACTATAGGGGTTAAATCCCCCCAGAGTGCAACGAGTTCCCCCCCCCCCCCCCCCATACACTCCTATAATATTTTAGCTCAGTCTTTTCTCTTCAGAACTTCACATGAAGTGTCTTTTTAATCTCTGTATGAAACTGCAGACACAAAAGTTCATGCGACATCAGAGTCTTCTGCCAGTTCAAGAATGTGTACGAGTTTTTGCACAGCGACTGTTCGAGGCTTACATTTTAGTTTGTGTTTCTGTTTGCTGCTCAGGGAGTGAAAACAGGTTTGTGGTTGACCATAATGAACCACTGGCAGCAGCTTGAACATTTCTTTTTTTAGCCTGCATGTGTTTTTATACTTCTTACAACAAAATGCATGTTGTCTTGTTGCAGATTAATGTAAAGTTGATGATTAGGGAATCATCCTGCAAATTTACTTCAGACACCGTTTTAACTTTATTTTTATTTTGTTTTTTATCCCAATTGTTACTTTCGCTTTTGCTCTTTTAATGTCTGGCACGTTTTCATTTTGTGCATTGTGAAAAACTTTTCATAAAGAGTGCTGAAATTGCTGATTTGGCTCTGGAACCATGTGTGAAAGTGGAAGTTTTGAATCAAAACTCATTGTTGTTGTTGTTGTTGTTGTTTACCATGCCTCCTCCTCTGCAGCTTTGGGGTCAAACCTGATGTCCGTGTTGACGTTGAACAGCGTGTCCTCGTCCGTCAGAGGCGGAGGAGACTTTTTATATAAAGGATGCTCGAACAGAGCCGACAGCCTGGAGCTCCTGTCCGGCGCGCGCCCGCTCCGTGCGCTCAGCTGCCTCTGGCCGCCGGGGCGCTCAGCCCCGCCGCGCGCTCCCTCCCCCGCAGCCTTGCTCCTCTCCGGGGAGGACCCGTTGGAGCTGGGCTCGCTGCTGAAGTCCTGCAGGATCCGGAGGGTGTGCTTGTTGCTGCTGCTGCTGCTGCTGGGCCAGCCCTGCAGCAGCTGCTTCCCTCCCCAGCTCTGAGGCTGCTCGCTGGGCACGTTGGAGCACGAGCAGCCTCCGCCGCCTCCTCCGTGCCTCTCCAGCTTGGGTAACAAGTCGATCATGATGTGCATGGAGCACGCGATGAGGAACACCATGAGGATCAGGACCCGGAATCGGCGCAGGAGGATCATCTTCATGGTCTCGCGTTTGAGCAGATGCGAGTACTTGCTGCAGATGATGAGCACGCAGAGGACCAGGCTCACTACATCACTGATGATGTTGATCAGACTGGACGCCAGTCGGATGAAATACACGTTAAACACGTAGGAGCCATCTTCACTGGCCGTCTTGAGTGAAGGATTCAGCCTTTCTTTCCTTTTCTTTCTCTATCTCCCTCCCTCTCTCTCTCTCTCTCTCTTTTTTTTATTTATTTCTTTACAACATCCGAGTCCTGCGCGATTGGAGACTATTTTTAGATCAGAGGCGCAAAGTCACCCGCACGAGTCCAGGTAGAACAGGTCGAGTCGGTTCAGACCAGCGAGCGGTTTGCGCAAGCCTCATCCTCCCCCCGGCTGAAGAATATCTGTGAAAAACAAAAATCAAAACACTCCGGGAGAGAAGAACCCGATCTGACTGCGCGCGACCACGATCCAAGTGGCTCAACATAAAAAAAAAATTTTTTAAAGAAAGAAAGAAAAGCAAAACAAACAGTGAAGCTCGTCACGTTTCAGTGTCCAGGAGGGGAAAGTCCCCGGAAATCGATCCAGCAGTCCGGGGCGCGTCACGGGAGAGGGTGGTGGGGTGGACAGACAGCAAGCTTTGGATCGTTTTGCGCAGGTAGAAAGGGTCCAGAGTCCTCTAGGAGCACAGCTGGAGGGGGGCGGGGGGAGGGGGGCAAGAATGAGCTCCTTGTAGCATGTGGGAATCTGGGTGGGTGTGTTAAATATGATGATGAAGCCAAGGCTAGATCCTGCCTTTACGCAGCGTCACTGCGCGCAGATTGGCTGAAAAACACCGAGAGAGAGAGAGAGAGGGAGAGAGAGAGAGGGAGAGAGAGAGAGGGATGTGAAGCACATAACTGTTCGTCTGTGTTCCTCCTGGAATAAATCAACTCTGCACATCCCGGCTGCTCAAGAAGAGGGCGTCTTTCCACCGATCCAACCGCCTGAGCAGACCAGCTCCCCCCTCCCTCTGTCCTCTGAAATCCATCTGCTGGACTCGCTCCGAAGTGTCTCCTCCGCGTTGGCAGTCCATCCATCGATGATGCATTAGACAGACCTATTAGAGCTCTCATCAGTCTGGAGGGGGGGGGGGGGGGGGAGCCACTCAGCACAAACTGACTCCTCAATAAGGTTCAGTGGCTGCATGAAATTAAAAACACACCAAAACATTTGAGAGATTCCTTATTGAAGCAGTGAAGGACAGTATCACCTGTCCCGTGGTCTGCAGAGAACTGGTGCTGGCCAACTGGCTGGAGAAGAGCTGCAGTTTCATAAAGTCCACACTCTTTAGAAGTTATGTCTGACTCACATGGTTGAAGATGCAGTTAATTGAGGGATTTACAGAAACATTAGTTGTGGGTGTATTAATGCAACGCGATTCTTGGTAACTAAATTAAAACGTCTTCGCTTATCCAAGGCTCTGTGTGCATCTGTCGTAAGAGAGGAATAAATAAAGTTATGGCTTCTGAAGAGGGGTTTTGAAGAAAGATGAAAAACAAACACTGTCTTGTCTGTTTTGGATAACTTACTGAAGCACTACAGTTTGGAAACAGAGTTTATAAAGTCCTGTCCAAATGGAAACTGTCTTTACACAATTTTTGTTTTTCCTTGCAAACATCAGCACTGTTCAATGTTCCATCCACACTGAAACACAAAACGACCCAAACACTGTAGTAACTGCTGAGTAGTTGACCTCCGATTGAAGAGTTGGGGGTTCAACTCCATCAGCAGCCACATGTTGAAGGGTCCCTGGACAAGACACTGGACACCTCACTGCCTTCGATGTGTGTCCCATCCGTGTATGAATGTGATCTAAAGCACTGATTAGAATGATTTGTTCAGATTTTCTTTGTAGGAGTCAGAGTTTCCTTAGTTGTCATTCGCACCACATCTGGTACATGTGGTGGAACAAAATTGTGTACACAGGGTCCCAGTTACATCCAACACAATTATAAAATGTAAAAGAAAATCAGTAATAAGATCTAAAATATGAACTAAGAAAAACATTAACTAAAAGTATGCTAAGCACTAATAGCATAAAAACAATACGTTGAACAGCAGCATGAAACAGATCAGCAGCAACATAAAACAGATCAGCAGCAATATGATGTGATTTTTTTTCCCCACAGTGATTATTCTGGTTAGAGATTCGTGAGTCTAACAGCCTCAGGGTAGAAGCTGTTCCTCAGTCTAGTGGTTCTACACTTAATGCTCCTCAACCTCCTTCCTGAGGGGAGCGGGGCAAAAAGTGTGTGTGCTGGATGAGTGAGGTCCTTCATGATGCAGGTGGCCCTCTTCCTGCATCTGGAGGTGTAAATGTCTGTGATGGTGGGGAGACTGACTCCAACAGACTTCTGTGCAGCCTTCACCACTCTCTGCAGAGCTTTTCTTTCTATCTAGTAGAGTGCTTTGTGTGTGGGTGTGTTGTAAAACACTTTGAGTATCTTGATTAGATAGGAAGGAGCTACATAAATACAGTCCATTTACCATTTTCTTATTTAATAATGAGAGATACAGAGGGTAGTCTCTACATGAGGACTTGACACATGACTGGAGACACTGACAACAACTGAGGTTGATTAATGAATGGGAACAGGTGGGAAGATGGTAGATATACATGATAGTGAGTTGATTATCAGGACAGAGGAGGTAACGCACTGACTGAGAACTGAAAATGTCCGGTTAAACTGGTTACTAATGACAGGAAACACTGGCAGAAATAAACTGTATGGATAGAATTCGGACAAAGAAAAAACTAGCCGACCAAACGAAAAATGTGACACAATGCCTGCTAATTTGATGGAGTTGTTGCCATTTGTGTTGACTAAGAACTTTGCAGCTGTAGCTCCTGGACGGTGGAACCATCTGTGCCGTCATGTCACACAGACTTCACAGAGCTGACATTTTTTTACTGGTTGCATTTGTATGTCTTATAATAATTGTTGTTTTAATGATCTTGTGTTTGGAGTTATCTTTTTGCTATTTGCAGTTTCCATTTTGACCAACGGCAGTTGTTCTGAAATGTGCTATACAAAGAAATTTGATTAAAAGTCAATTAGTTGTGGTGGCCATCTTGAACTGGATGGCCTACACTTTAAAAACTATTTTTGTGCAGAATTTCCCCCAAGAATTTACTCATTTTCCAACAAATCAGTGAAAACAACGAGTTTTTGAACAATGAGATTTCCATCTCTTTAGCAGCGACCGACTGGCGACCAAGCAACCCATCCACGGGCTCAGCACTCCTGATATCAGTGACTGTTCGAGGGTGGAAGGCAAAGTGATGCTTGCTGTCCATCCAGATTTCATGCCAACCTGCTGTAGCGTGCTGTCGACTAGCCCCGAGGTGAAACAAGCGCAGATGAATGTGTATTGATGTCAGTCAGACATGGATCACAGCAGTCGATGGGTCAGTGGTTCCTCACAAGGCCTGTCTTGTGCAATTGTAGCTGAGCCTTTCAGGTGGAATCAACGGAGCCGCTCTGATTCTTGGGCTCATATATCATTGTATTGTTTTCTTGATTTTGTTGGCTGTCTAACAACATTAGCTCATCGTCTGTGCTGATAAAGTTGGACTGTTTTGGAGATGACTATTTGCAAACACAAATGAATGGTTTTGTTTTATTTCTTGGCTGAAATTAAACCAATGTTCAAACAATGAACTAAAAAGTCCAGCTTTGGGATTTCCAGTGTCGGATTTCAAGCCTTTGTCTGGAATGCATTCGATGAGCGTTTGTTTGTTTTAGTCTGCAAATGGATTGAGCAACACTATTAGAAGGATCTGGACTTTGTTCAGACATGATGAGGACGAGCAGGAGGGCAGGCCATCCTACCAGATAGCTGATTTAAGCACTGGTAGTGTGTACACAAGATTTATGTCCAGTGAGATAGCACTGATGATACAGAGATAGTACACTCTATGTCCTCTGTCTGCACAGAAACAGTGAAGGGATGGGTCAGATACTACACAACGTCAGCCCAGTCATGTGAGAGGGGATTCAAATCCAATTTATACCCTGAGTGTGTTTGACGATATGACATCACCTCAGGTTAACATTAAACAAGTTTTCTCAAACATTTCAGGTATATACACACAGACATACAGTGGTGCTTGAATGTTTGTGAACCCTTTATAATTTTCTATGTTTCTGCATAAATTTGACCTAAAACATCATCAGATTTTCACACGAATCCTAAAAATAGATAATGAGACAAAAATATTAAACTTGGTCATTTATTTATTGATGAAAAAGATCCAGCTTTACATATTTGTGATGGTAAAAGTATGTGAACCTCTAGGATTATCAGTTCATTTGAAGGTGAAATTAGAGTCAGGTGTTTTCAATCCATGGGATGATGATCAGGTGTGAGTGGGCACCCTGTTTGATTTAAAGAACAGGATCTATCAAAGTCTGATCTTCTCAACATGTTTGTGGAAGTGGATCATGTCAGGAACAAAGGAGATTTCCGAGGAGCTTAGAAAAAGAGTTGTTGATGCTCATCAGGCTGGAAATTGTTGCAAACCATCTCTAAAAAGTTTGGACTTCACCAATCTACATCACACAGATTGTGTACAAATGGAGGAAATTCAAGACCAGTGTTACCCTCCCCAGGAGTGGTGGACCAGCAAACATCACGTCAAGAACAAGGTGTGTATTAGTCTGTGAGGTCACAAAGGACCTCAGGGTAACTTCTAACAACTGAAGGTCTCTCTCACATTGATGTTGATGTTCATGAGTCCACCATCAGGAGAACACTGAACAACAATGGTTCATGGCAGGGTTGAAGGAGAAACCACTGCTCCAAAAAGAACATGGCTGCTCGTCTGCAGTTTGATAAAGATCACATGGACACAACAGAAGACAGAAGAATGTTTTGTGGACAGATGAGACCAGAATAGAACTTTTTGGTTTAAATGAAAAGTGTTCTGTTTGGAGAAAGTAAAACTGCATTCCTGCATAAGAACCTGATCCCATCTGTGAAACATGGTGGTGGTAGTATCATGGTTTGGGCCTGTTTTGCTGCATCTGGGCCAGGACGGCTTGCCATCAATGATGGAACAATGAATTCTGAATTATATCAGAGAATTCTAAAGGAAAATGTCAGAACATCTGTCCATGAACTGAATCAAGAGAAGGTGA